AAGATTAGAATTTAATCAAACTCAATCTATTAAATATTTATTTATACATAAAATTTCTCTATAAATCAACTTTGTGCGACAAACATTTACTGATTCTTTTATCTAAAACATTGAACTTCTTTGAAAAAGTTATTCTCAACAAATCATTCATCATTCAAAGTTATTGAAAATTTACTAAAATTTATTTTTTTTGTAAAAAAAAACAACAAAAAAGTTTTTATTTTATTAAACTTACAAATTCATTAATTTGATTAAACAAAATATTTCATACAAAAAGATTATTTACTAATTTCGGTAGAAGAAATTACGAACACGTTTAATTTTCACTTACTTTCAAAAGCTTGGATCCAAAATGTCCAGGCTGTCACACGACTCTTCACGATTTTTTCCACTCCTATATTGAATAACATCCACTTGTTATAAGGTTCCAAGGACAAGGTTGGATCTTAGGCTTTCATGAAGGAAATGGTTAGGTTTCTCTTCAAATGAGCTGAATACCAAATTTAAGTTGAGTTTTGAAAATTTATTTTCGTATATTTTACCTTTACAGAAGTTACAATTCTTACGAATTCTAGTCTTCAGTATTTTAACTATTTTCAAAGGTTTTGTAAATATATAACAAGTGTACTTTTCTTAATAATTTATTAAAATCGCAGCAAATGTAGTGAATAGTTTTAAGACAAACAAATCTCATTAAAACTTGTTATTTCCAAGTTCTCTACAACTAAGGAAAAGATTGCGACTTTAACACCTTTTAGCAAATACAAAAAAAAATTAATGAGAGAACGTCCATTAAATATATGAGGTCAAAAGGGGAGAGGGAGGGGGTTTCCGGCGAAATTTCATCAAGAGGGAGGAGTATAAACTTAAAAAAAAAACACCTCACGTAATTAATGGACGTTCTATGATACATATTTTATGTTTTAATTTAAAACAACTCATAAAACTTCCACGTTGAAACAGTCTAACAGCTACTAGATCTTTTTCGTTTATTCGCAACTAGGTTGAATGAATATCATCGAATTAAAAATGCACAAACGTTAAGATTTCCGTTGATTGTCTACATTAGTCGCCTTTTACGACACGCAGAGACTTACGGTAGGGCTATTCTATCCCGGCCCTACACGGGGAAACAAATTAATCCATAAACATAAAAGAAACAACTATTTATTTGCATGTTTTATTATAAATGATCAGTAGCTTTAACTAACATAAAAGTGCCCATCCCCTGTGAAATAACGAAATAATTATTTTATTAAGCGACATTTACTATAATACAGCGTATCATTATGTTAACTAAATCTAAGCATCATATTTCTCCTAACAGTGTTACAACTTTTAATTAATTTTACTCGGGTTACTAGAATGCATTTTACAAATTATTTTTAACACATTTAAAAAATGGTGTAATACTTGATTTTTTTGAGTGATAGTTGTGTCACGACATTCGTGTAGACTTCTTTTCGTTTTCTTTTTGCTCGTTCTGTAAGTACAATTAGCAAGAACCGGATTGTAAAATTATTACAAATTAATTCTAATTTTACACTATTCAAAAAGTTGGTGCATCTCATTTTTCGGAACCAACTGTTCCGGAGAAAATCCCAATAGGAAAAATGAATACAGTAAGCGCGAAAACTCAATTAATAAATTATTATCATATTTACAATTCATCTTAATAGTTGTTATTTTATGTAATTGGTCGACGACAGTCGCAGCAACAAATTAATGAAAAAACCAATATTAAAATAATAAAAAATTACCAAATATTTTCTTACAGGAAAAATATTATTTCCCGATCTATGAGAAAAAAAACGAGTTACGCATAAAACGTTAAAAAAATGGAGCTTATAAGTTTGATAACGGAAAATAATTAGTCCTTACTTGCCTATACTATTTAAACTAAAGGGCGTTCTGTCTCAAGAATGAATTATTATAAGTAAAAAATCATGTCGAGTATTTTTATAAATTTAAATATACTTAGAATGTGCATAATTAAAAAAGAATTGCAGGTATTGAAGTTGTGTTGCAATTTAACATTTGACTATCATTTAATCAAAATACAAAAGAATTTCAAATTAAAAAAAAATATTTTTTATGAAAATTTTAAAGACAAAATGCTCATAAATCTTAAATATTTTTTTGAAAAAGGTTTATTACCTACTTTTAATGAGCATTTCGTTTTGAAAACTTAATTATATAATAATGAAACTAAACATCAAATAAGGATTAAAAGCTCGTCATAAAAGTAGAAGAATTAATGTGTTGGAGAGCTGAGAGTGACGTCGACCAATACATAAAGGGGCTACAGAATTAAATAAATTTGTTCCTAGTTTTAAACCTAGTCACACGTTCACATCACGACACTTTGCGTCCGCACTTTACACATTATTTACAACAGTTATAAGAATAATTAATAATAATTGTTGTTGCTGTAATAAGACAATAAAAATCAATAGCAAAAAAAAGGATTTGATAATAATTCATATTAGCATGAGTGCTAACCCCACTCACTCGAATACGACTACGAGCCCCGACAAACGTCCGTTTCGCCCGCCACGGTGCCCTCGAAAAAGCTATCAATAAAAAGCCTCAAAAAAGTATCTTCTTATCAGCTAACGGCATAAAATTAACTTTTATTTTTCACTTCTTCTATTTATCGTTATCGTCATAGTATCTTCTTCTGCATCCTCTGTCATAGGTTTACAGTTTCGCGTTTGTATTTGTTTTCATCTTTTGCTAAGTTGGTGTCAATGTAATGTACGCACGCGTCAGAGCCGAAACGTCTTTGACGCGCATCCTTTATTTTTCTTTTTTATTTTAATTTTCTGCTGCAGCTTATCACAAATTAACACTTATAGGTAGATGTACGACAATATTATTATAAATATATATTTATATTATGTATACTTTAGCTAAAGGCTGCAACATCCAACTTAAACGCGGCTAGGGGAGCAGACGGGAAAGGCAAAGAAGAGCTCATAAAATCAACACGAGTGTCTCTGGGTTTACCCTTCTTTTTTCTCTATCTCTCTCTCTCTCTCTCTTTCTCGCTGTATGTATAACTCTATCTCTTTAAAGAGGTTTGGTGAAGAGATGTCCTGATTACACGGTGGACGTAAAAAAATAATTTAATCATGGAACGTCAATAAACCATTTAAGGGCCGTTTTGTTTCTAAATATTTTTGTTAAGAGTTTATAGTTAAAGTACCTGCAATTGAGCATACTAGTACCTAATAATAAATTAACAAGTTGATGATTTTTCTTATTTGATATTAATCTTAAATCATTAATAAAGATTATCTGGCATTAACTGGAAAAGTTTGAACAGTCAAAAGCATATGATAACATTGACAATAGTTTTACTACTACCATTTAAGTACTACTAATTTTACTGCATTTATTTTGAGCATTTGGATAATTAAACCCCATTTTTTTTTGGAAACTTACAATTATTTTTCATTTGTCGAAACTTTATAAATTAACATTAACTATTTTAAATTAGGACGGCGTATGGAAAAGTTTTTAAATAAATATTTAGTTACATCCACCTCGAGGAGAGAATAGAGAAATTTCCTCGCCCTCATCGTAAATTTAATATCACAAGTCAAGTAACACAAATGAGAACCAAATTCCGAAAAATGTACAATTAAACTACCGGGAGCAGCGACTGTTTGTTACTAGATAGAACCATTTTTATTATGCATTCCGATTAACCAAAACAGGACACATTATAACTTTGATCGAAACGAAGGAACAAAAATACAAAAAAAAAAACGAGTTTGATAATTATTGAAATGCGACTGACCGAATTAAGATCCACGTGGTGGTGCGCTGTGTGTGATTGTTTGGTACCTATGGTAGTTGTAGTAGTAGAGATCGACCAGAATAATCAACATCATTATTATTACTGTAACGGTATTGGTGGTTTTTATAGGTAAGTGATAGTAGATAGATCACTGCTCGGCGACGGCAGAGCTGGGAGTTTGCTTTTGCTGTTGCTGTTGAAAGAAGCCCTTACGGCCTCCGTTGGGCAGTCACAGCTTCAGTTCGTTTGCTATTTTGCTAGCAATGTTCTTAAAACCGATACTAGTTCCTAAATAATAAAAAATGAATAAAATTAATTGATACCCATCCTATACTTACCTACTTTTTATCAATTGAAAAATAAATATTTAGACTTCCTTACAAAAATATGAGAATAATAATGATGAAAACGCTAAGGCTTTCACGGCCGGCGTTATTTGCAGTTTGATATTCGAGCTTGACGGTCGGTCATCAAACTCAAATGTTTAACTCTCTTCATTAATAATAATGTTTAACATGTGATTATTAAATATTTATATCACACATTAAAAGTTTATAGATTTCAAAATGGTTTTCATTTTAAAGATTAATACATGATACCTAATACCCGTTGATTCCCATCAAAATGAATTTACTAAAAAGCCAAAAAAAATTTTTCTTATTTATATCTTTGAGAACCAATTTTCAATGCATAAAATAATAAGTAGGTAGAGGTTGAATGGATAATCGGAATTCTGTAAGTGCTTAAAACATCTTACCGGAAATTCTTTTAAATCTAACACCATTGAGCGACAATCGAGGCAATTTGCATACTTCTATCTCCCATTGAACCAGGCTATCGGTATTCGGGTCCCCATGCACGCAGAGCAAGAGGAATCTTTCCCTCTGTTCGTAATCGCAATTATTAGCGTCCAAGACTTTCCTTATTTCAGCCATTATCTCCGATGGATCTCGACTGGATGTTGTCTTCATAGACCACGTAAACCTTAACGAACGCGGTTTGACATGTTCGTCGTTTTGCGCTCCACCGACTCTGTAACGATAATGGTAATAACATATTCTATATAATAACTTGTAGGACGCACGTAAATAGAAATAAAACAAAAATCGAATTTTCAAAAATATACAAAAAATTTTTTACAGTTATTCGAAGTTAGCAATTTAACTTCAAATTTAAAAATACCAAAAAGAATGGTATCCTAATTAATATAATGCACGCATTAAAGTGGCTTTTCTTACATTTGTGTTTTATTATTGTGTATTAACAGTTATATGCATATGAAACGATGTTAACCAAAAGTTGACTCTTAATAAAGTAATTATTTAATGTTTTTATTATAGTGATAAAGTATTATTCCATCTGTCCTGTTCACTGAAAAATATTTTGCCGCAATTACAAACAAAAATACTAAGTGGTGGTGTTTCCTAAACCCAAAAGTAGAAAAAATAAAGTGTTCTTGTGTAAGGTAAAAGAAAAAAGGGTTCACTAAGGTGCATTTATATAACATGGCCCTAGCCCGCTTCCTTGGGATATGCGAGGGCGTATAAGCACAAAAGGGGAGGTCCAATCAAAAGCTACAGTAATAATACCCATCCAACGGGAAAATTTATTTTGAGTATTTATCCAAATTTAATTATCTATGTAATAAAATAATGATTTGTGTAATTTTGCAATATCGTACGCCCTTTTAGTTCTGCTGCTAAGTTTTGGGCAAATAATAAAAAAATGCAAAATACATATAACACTGAAAAAGTGTTTTTGCAATAACATCAAATGCAAACATAACACATATTATGTATACACATACATATACACGTATATTTAACATAAATTTACATAATCAGATCTTGTTATTTAATTCAATTAACTGTAATGAGTGTTAGTATGCCAATTAAACAAAAAAATACACTAAAACGAGAAGTTGAAAAATATTGATATATCTTACGTTAGTAAAAGTCCCAACACGCTGTTAGAATAAGTTTTAGTATTGCATCAAAACAAAGAAAATCGGCTTCATCAAATATAAAGATACTGGTAAATATTGAATGTTAAATGGGAATGTAAAAAAACTTCTTTCCAAGAAGAACAAACAATTACAAATAACAGACACACTTAAAGCTGTTAAATGTGCAAACTATTATATACACTAACAACTAAAAACACTCTATATAGCTATGTATGTGTAAAGTGCAAATAAAAGTATTTTTATAAGTAAAATCAAAGGCTGAAGAGAAAACAAGACCCAGTGAGAAAGATAGTATAATGTGTGTAAAATACCAATATCTTTTAGGTATTCGTTTGTGGCCCAAAAAACTATTTAGCAGCAGAATTTTTGATATCAGAAACTTACCCAACGACAGGCGAGGCACCATGTTTACTACCAGCCTGACCTGGCTCTAACCCTCTGAAAATAATAAAATGTGCAATGAAAATGGAAAAATTAACTAAAGCAAAAAAATGGAACGTTAGTTACCAATTAATATTCCTTGCTTTTTTATTTCTTGGTAGTGAATGTTATTAATTAAATGCTGCAAACAGTTATCATAATGAATCGAAAGATAGATAATACAATTAGTAAATTTATGAATGAACGTTTCTTTAAAACTTAAAGTGGTTATTTCACAATTAGCAAAAAGTAATTAAATTAAAAAAAAAGCAAAATAAATAATAAAACTATTTTTTAAGGGTCAGTGGCGAAAAAATTTATTAAGTAGTATTTTTTCTGGGAGGCTAATTACTGAAAAAGATTGACAACCTACAAGTGAAGGGTGTTATTATTTTTATTAATTCGAAGCGTTAATTTGAGGAAGCTTTTCTGCTGGAGAATTATTGATAAGACATAATTTTTAAGTACCGATTTGAAATAAAGAAAAACACGACTGCCTGTACCTTAATCATTTCTACATAACTTCCAAAAATATTAAGGGGCTTGTTATATCGATCGAATTTGTTTTTATATCCTATCCTACTTTAATTTAACATAAATCGTTGACCTCATCATCGTAGTCGTGGCGCTGACCACCCAGATGACAAAAATCAACACACAACATCCTCTTCTTGCCCCAAAACACGGTACACACGATTTAATTAGCTGAAATTGTTTGCTAGAACTTTACATTCTTAGGTAATATTCAATTCCATGGATTGGTGTGGTTGATGTGTAATGTAAGCCATCCATGTTTCATCATTTGTGATTTAAAAATCCACCAGTACAGCACATTGAAAACTTAAGGAAGCCTATCAGAATTACGAAATCGTAAACCATCTGTTCTCGTTTAATTTTTTCTATCAACTTTTCACTAAATTCTTAGTGATAACACATATTCTTATATTTGAAGAAGAAGCATTAAGGTGGTTAGTGCCCTGCGCGACGATGATGAGTACGAACGGTTTCATCAAACCATTAGGATTGGATAAAATAGCTGATTGTACGATACGATAAATGCCCTAATATTAATGGACAGTATAAAACAGAAAAGTAAATTAATGTATATGCAAAAAGGTTATAGATAGGAATAGAAACTTTATGGGTAGGTAGTCCGCTGTGCTGTAAAGTACTAGGCATTAGATAAATTGCGTAGGCAAGATTTTATTTACACTTTGTGTATGATAATTGACAATAACAAAACTGATGCGTAATCGATCATCGCGCAGCGGACCGTTTGGTTTTCTACATTTTACTAGCAATGGGGCTTTTCAGACCCATTCGCTTCGAATTAAGTTATTGCTCACATCTCTAATCTTGTTGATACAGGCTTTCACATAAAAATAAAATTGTTAGGTCCACCTGGTTTTCTTTTCAAAGTGGTACTTACTTGAAAAACAAACGTCGTATTACAATCAAAAATTTTCGTAGACCCGTTTTAAGACATTTTAATCAGTTTGACAGGAGGTAATCACCACAGTGGCCCTTATTGCGGGTTTTTTGAATTTTATTTCTATCGTTTTCTATACAGAAACAAAATCCAAAAAAATCCAAAGTAGAAATTATTCTAAAAACTAATTAATTCACTAATGTTCAGCAAATACCTGTTAAAACTTGTAACAGAAAAAAACGAAAGTACATAAAACCTTTCCTTGTTTATTCCTTGATAAGTACGATCTTCGGGGGTGTCCTTATATCAGAATCTATTCAAAGGTCAAAGACAAAGGGGATCTAAAAGTTACATTCAGTCGGGAATTTTCTTACTGGCTTACCATTCACATTTTTTTGTCAGTATTCATAAACCTATAGAAGAGTAAAAGGGATTTGAAAACAAAATATTTCTGCTAACCTTATATTTTGTATTGACTATAGGACCGTTATACAATTCAGAATATAACAACTCAATATAAATTAAAATACAAATAAAGAATTGCACTGATCTATTAGGTATAATCAATTATATGTATGCATTTAAAATTCACGCAATGAAAATTCAACTAAAACTTCAGAAACTTGGTCGTATTTGAGCTCCTAAGAAGTTGAGTAAAATTATGCATCAGCATGCCCTTAAGATTATGCTTTTACTCAACTTTAGATATATATTTTTAAATATAATTACATGTTAATATTATTAAATTCCTAAATATATGTTTAGAAATCTAAACAATTCTGATTTAAAAACCTCTTTGGTTCTTAATAACAAAGAAATTAATTTATTAATTATCAATCACATGCTATATTGCTTTCATCATTCAATGAACACGGATAAAAACTTCTTCAAAACTATATATTTAAAATCTATCATTTTTTAACAAGTACAATAAACTAGCTATAATATTGATTGATATACAAATCCAGTAATTTTTTTAAAGTCGTTTTCGTTCTTTTTATAAATTATATCCCCTAAAAGTGAATTTTGAAGAAGTTTTTGTACATTATTTCTTTACAGATTGTTTTCCTAAATTACACATCCATTTTATTGCAATACTGCTAGTTACTTTGAATTGTATAATAAAGAGTAAAAGGTGTAATTTAACCAAGGAACAACTAATTTAATGGTCAAGAATAAAGAGAGGTGAATGACGATGAATGATCAAATATTTGGATGGATGTTATGGCACCATATAGGTAACATTATCTACTCCAACTAATGCTTATAATTTATGTACAAGTACAATTACCTGTATTAAAAATTTGTGTACCACTCTTTATTAATCGATGTGGTCAAGTTAATATTATACTGCCTGCAATTGTTTTACAAAATCAATTCTAACAGTATTAGAATTTCAATTCTGAATTTTTAGAAAACACCTTTACAAAATTCCATATCAATTTAACTAAACATTTTACACAGTCCGTAAAAGGCTTGAGAAGAGGTCATTTTTTTTTAATAATCATTATCACAACCATGCCTTTTTTTACGATGCTAAGATGCGTGGTGAGATCGTATTTTTCTATAGCAATAGCCCCGGTGCTTTGCTAAAGCAACGTAGTCAATTACCTAAAATATACTATTTGCAAGTTAAAATTTCACTAATAGTAAATAAACTTTAAAAATCGAAAATTAAATAGCGGCTATACATGCTTTAGTACTGATAAGTAATAATCAAGTGCATCTAAAATTGGAAGGTAAAGTAAATAAAAAACAACTGAATTAAGAATATTAATATGTTATGAATGTATGAAATTTCAACCTGCAAGGAATATTATTTTTCGAAAAAACAGAAAGAAAAACAAGATAAAAAAGAAAACTTAAAAGACGCACCACACACACAGCACACGTATCCATCCATCATCATCGTCCTCCACCACCTCCTCCTCTTCTTTCCTTTGCTTCTTACTCCTCGTGCAGACCGGCTAGTTGAGGCGGATACCGCATCTTCTCTTGTCCGCCATTTTGGTTGTTAAGCTCTGCCTTTGTAGTCGCCATCTTGGCCGTCATCGTCCTAGAGAACCAACCAACACATCATTCAGATCAGTCGTGGTCGTGTGTGGTCGCGCGAACCGATCGTCGCTAGGCGGCAAGTGAGCAAGAGCGAAACAGATACAGCGAAAGAGTGCGAAGGAGGGGGGAGAGTATCACGCAGTCGGCCAACAACGGTTGGAATTGGGAGTAATATGATATCGCGTGGGGGGACAATGATTGGTTGGGCAGTGCTTTGTGGGGGGTGGACGGACTGGACGTAGGGGATAGCGCGGCCAAGGCACGTCCCTCCGGCGACGCCTCAGTGGTTTGTCCTGAACGAGAAGAATAATCTTGAACAATGACGACGCAGCTAATGCCGGAGGGACGCACCACACACATAAACCCCACACAGCTACCAACATATATCTTTCAATACGTAAACGGCAACCAGAGCACGGAAATGGAGTAAGCATATTACATTTATTATGAACGTACAGCTGTTATTGAGCACGAGTATGTCGGTAAAATATAATTTCTAATTAAACCTATCTTAAAAAAACTACTTGATTTTATGACAATTTTGAAATTTACTTTTGGTAGTATAAGCTTCTAATATTTCTGTGCTCTGTTTGAAAACTGCCGTAATTAACTTGTCTTAGGAGTAAAATAAAATCCATATAAACTCAGTCACAAGTAGGTACGTTTTACATTATTATTTATTAACTGCCTTAACTACAGACTGAGACTGCAATCAACCATTGGTTTTGACGAGGATAATAGATAAAAATATCCTCTGTTGCGCACCATATATGTACACACATGCATACATCCATCACGCATACGTAAAACAAGACATTACTTTCCTACATACGTGTAGTGTACAGAAAGAGCAAAGTCATAATTACTGTTTGTAATGGGAAACATTTTTAAAGTATAAATTAATGACACAGAAACGGAAAGTTGTTAGTGTTTATGCAAGAGTTAATTAACGTAAAATTGTTTATTAGCACAGAAAAGAATAACATGAAAAGTGTATAAACAGTAGTAAAATACTAAAAACGAATCGAACATTTTCGTGTTTCAAAAAATATGGTAAGCCAGTAAGTAATTAAAAATCACCAATGGGGCATTGTATCTGTACAAGAGAATTTTTAATAAAACATCATTTTTATACAATTAAACAATTAACGCATTGCTGTACATATTTGTGTTGAAAAATATTCTCCATTTCCGTGAAAGAAAGCAACTGTAAGCCGGTTCTTTTCGAAACAAACTCACAAGGACATTGTAGTTTTTAATACTACCTTCAAAACTATCCAACATGCCTTATCTATAAGGAACGCACGAGGTACGTAAACGATCTCAGTAGTTATGTATTCCTTGTCCTTATTAAAAATAAAATTTTATTTTAATCATGCCAGTGCCAGCTAATTAACAAGTTCACTGATAATGATGCCACCTACTAACGACGTGCAGTCCTTACTAATTTTTGTCATATTGATTACAAAAGATCCTCAGACTTTGGCATAAAGCAAGTTGGTAGTTTTGATTTTTTAATTATTATTATTATTATTGTCAAGTTACTTATTCTGTTATTGTCTATGTTATGGAAATACTAGTGCAATATTAGCTAAGTATAGTTAGTGTAGCAGTTGCCTTAACAAATTATGACACAAGAAGGTTATTTATCCACCCAATAGAAAAAAACAAGTTCAAAAATGAAAGCGCCTAAGCAACAATGTTTGATGAATGAATTTGCAATATTTTTGAAATTACTATTCACTTTATGCTGTTTAGTTTTATTTAATCAGAACAGTAAGCTACTAATATTGTCTTTTATTGTTTAAGAAAAACAGACGCAATAAAATTTCATTTAAACAAAATATTATTGTGACACTTTTTATATCCTTGGTTTAAAATTATTATTGAATCGTTCAAAATAATCTTTTGTTGGACTTCAAACAATAATATATACACAATACATATTATTAAAATTAATTGCATAAAAAATTAATGTAATGCAATCTACTTTCAGTTTCTTTTTCTCTATCATTTTTTAACAAGTACAATAAACTAGCTATAATATTGATTGATATACAAATCCAGTAATTTTTTTAAAGTCGTTTTCGTTCTTTTTATAAATTATATCCCCTAAAAGTGAATTTTGAAGAAGTTTTTGTACATTATTTCTTTACAGATTGTTTTCCTAAATTACACATCCATTTTATTGCAATACTGCTAGTTACTTTGAATTGTATAATAAAGAGTAAAAGGTGTAATTTAACCAAGGAACAACTAATTTAATGGTCAAGAATAAAGAGAGGTGAATGACGATGAATGATCAAATATTTGGATGGATGTTATGGCACCATATAGGTAACATTATCTACTCCAACTAATGCTTATAATTTATGTACAAGTACAATTACCTGTATTAAAAATTTGTGTACCACTCTTTATTAATCGATGTGGTCAAGTTAATATTATACTGCCTGCAATTGTTTTACAAAATCAATTCTAACAGTATTAGAATTTCAATTCTGAATTTTTAGAAAACACCTTTACAAAATTCCATATCAATTTAACTAAACATTTTACACAGTCCGTAAAAGGCTTGAGAAGAGGTCATTTTTTTTTAATAATCATTATCACAACCATGCCTTTTTTTACGATGCTAAGATGCGTGGTGAGATCGTATTTTTCTATAGCAATAGCCCCGGTGCTTTGCTAAAGCAACGTAGTCAATTACCTAAAATATACTATTTGCAAGTTAAAATTTCACTAATAGTAAATAAACTTTAAAAATCGAAAATTAAATAGCGGCTATACATGCTTTAGTACTGATAAGTAATAATCAAGTGCATCTAAAATTGGAAGGTAAAGTAAATAAAAAACAACTGAATTAAGAATATTAATATGTTATGAATGTATGAAATTTCAACCTGCAAGGAATATTATTTTTCGAAAAAACAGAAAGAAAAACAAGATAAAAAAGAAAACTTAAAAGACGCACCACACACACAGCACACGTATCCATCCATCATCATCGTCCTCCACCACCTCCTCCTCTTCTTTCCTTTGCTTCTTACTCCTCGTGCAGACCGGCTAGTTGAGGCGGATACCGCATCTTCTCTTGTCCGCCATTTTGGTTGTTAAGCTCTGCCTTTGTAGTCGCCATCTTGGCCGTCATCGTCCTAGAGAACCAACCAACACATCATTCAGATCAGTCGTGGTCGTGTGTGGTCGCGCGAACCGATCGTCGCTAGGCGGCAAGTGAGCAAGAGCGAAACAGATACAGCGAAAGAGTGCGAAGGAGGGGGGAGAGTATCACGCAGTCGGCCAACAACGGTTGGAATTGGGAGTAATATGATATCGCGTGGGGGGACAATGATTGGTTGGGCAGTGCTTTGTGGGGGGTGGACGGACTGGACGTAGGGGATAGCGCGGCCAAGGCACGTCCCTCCGGCGACGCCTCAGTGGTTTGTCCTGAACGAGAAGAATAATCTTGAACAATGACGACGCAGCTAATGCCGGAGGGACGCACCACACACATAAACCCCACACAGCTACCAACATATATCTTTCAATACGTAAACGGCAACCAGAGCACGGAAATGGAGTAAGCATATTACATTTATTATGAACGTACAGCTGTTATTGAGCACGAGTATGTCGGTAAAATATAATTTCTAATTAAACCTATCTTAAAAAAACTACTTGATTTTATGACAATTTTGAAATTTACTTTTGGTAGTATAAGCTTCTAATATTTCTGTGCTCTGTTTGAAAACTGCCGTAATTAACTTGTCTTAGGAGTAAAATAAAATCCATATAAACTCAGTCACAAGTAGGTACGTTTTACATTATTATTTATTAACTGCCTTAACTACAGACTGAGACTGCAATCAACCATTGGTTTTGACGAGGATAATAGATAAAAATATCCTCTGTTGCGCACCATATATGTACACACATGCATACATCCATCACGCATACGTAAAACAAGACATTACTTTCCTACATACGTGTAGTGTACAGAAAGAGCAAAGTCATAATTACTGTTTGTAATGGGAAACATTTTTAAAGTATAAATTAATGACACAGAAACGGAAAGTTGTTAGTGTTTATGCAAGAGTTAATTAACGTAAAATTGTTTATTAGCACAGAAAAGAATAACATGAAAAGTGTATAAACAGTAGTAAAATACTAAAAACGAATCGAACATTTTCGTGTTTCAAAAAATATGGTAAGCCAGTAAGTAATTAAAAATCACCAATGGGGCATTGTATCTGTACAAGAGAATTTTTAATAAAACATCATTTTTATACAATTAAACAATTAACGCATTGCTGTACATATTTGTGTTGAAAAATATTNGTCAAGTATTTTGTTTGCAATAAACATAAAAATAAAATTTCCGGTTCTCTTTGATCGAATTAAATGTATTAGCTAACGTGATCTGTTCTTTCAATTTTTCACAAAACGTCGCCACAGTGTTTCGAAACTAAAAGCACTGCTTTCTAGAGTGGAATAAGAAATAATTATTTCCACATGAGAAAGTAATTATTTCAGACGCGAAACACCAAGTTGGTTATTATGTAAAGGAAGTATTGATTACAAGTAAGATGTTATACATAGACTCATTAAAAAAATTAGTAGTTCAAGAAACCATAATATTTCCTACATATTACACAAAATCTATATAAAATTTCAACTTAATCATTCAGTATACAAATATAATAAATGGCAAAAAAATAAATTAAAAATTAAACCAAAACACAAATATTTAATTTAGAAAAAAAATTTCTGAGTAATAAAATAAGTCATGAGGACTTTATTTACTGGGAAATTTTATTATACAAAACTTTCGTGTTTTCATTTAGTAAAAACTAAAAAGCACATTATTAATTTGTTTAACCACGAATAGTTTCTCATTTAAATAATTATTTCGTTTTGCCAAATCCAATTTTAGATGTTTTTTTCAATCAATTTTTTGTTTTCTTTCAATTGACATTCCATTATTGATTACTCATAAAAAAAATAACCATCTGAAAGGAAAAAATAATAAAAGTAACGTACTTAATGCTAATGTGTAATTATAATAAAAAAGTAAAACCAATCAAAAGCTTCGCCCAGGCGACAAAAATAGGCTCCGCAAAGACCCAATTAAATAATTATTATTAATAATAAAACGACAGGCAGACAGCGTGGAGGTTTTCCTGACTGACTTCGAACACAAACAAAAGAAATAAATAAAATAGAACATGTACTTATTTGGAAAGTTATACGGAAAATTACACAATAAATACGAGTGACACTTAAAATGACGAAATGAACATTTAATTGATTATTTATCCAATGTTTAATTAACAACATCCCGTTCACCATCTGCACAATGAATTTCGAAATTAATATGAATACATTAAAAAGCCAAAGAGAAAATGAGAAGAAAATGAGAAAGAATATTCTTTAAGAGTTTTAAACTAAAACACGACATTAAGTATTTAAGTTGATGGAAGAGTCACCCAACCAAAAAAATAAAGCGAGATCGTAAAGATAATGGGTTGTGTGCATAAAGTTGAGTGTGTGTAGTTGCACATTTTTAAAGTCCTTTTGAAATGCATAATTATCTGAGTTATTTCATTATCAAAAACACGTATAACTAATCTCATTTCATGAGAATCTATTCTTCTGTTCCGACTTGTATGCATGAATAAGAATTTAATGGTACTACTGAATGTCTACTTTCAAAACTTTGAACCATCTGAGTAGTGGACATAAGTTAACAAAAGGTGGACGTTTATTTATATGCACGTGTCAGCTACTGAGGAGACTCCAAATACCCTCACTTACGCATATAGAAATCTGAGTCGGTCCTCAGGGAACAAGTGGATCCACAAGAATCACTCCACTCATGCTTGAGATTAACTATATGTATTAAAAATATAAGACAACACTACGCAGTCAACTTTATACATACTGCCAAATATGTGAAAGGCACGGACTTTCAATTTCGATACAACATGAAAAAATGTATTTAAATTGTTGATAAGTGCTCAGAAAAAATTTTAACGGATAAACAAGATCTGCAGCATCTTCCAGAAAAAAAATCTGTTTTTTAAAGTGTAAGTATAAAATAAGAACTGTAACCGCGTTTAAATTCAAAATCTATTTCTAACATTCTTTTCCAAACGAGACGTAGAACTCCAAAAGTCTGGACTGTATTTGTTTTTTGATATAAATGAATGTCATACGCATTATACATATAATACTGTGTAAAAATAAGCAAGCAAGTTTTAATTGATAATAAAAGTAAAAATCGTTTTGTAAATTTTGGTGAACTTTACGATCACGCTAGATATACAGACAAAAAGAGAGATAGAGACAGTAGAAAAAACACACACAAACAGACACACATCGTGCTAAACTACCTCCACTTGAAGCTCTCCTATTAGGTTTGGCATTAGTGGCAGATATAGACCTATGCACACCTCGATGTGATGGACTCTGCGCCGTCGCTTGGGGTGCGTTCACGTTCGCCTGACCCGCTATGTTCCTGAGGGAGAGACTGCTACCACTGCGGCTGCCATCGCTTTCCGGCTAAGCAAAATTACTTAATGCAATAACACTAACAAATAACGAATTAGAATGATTATGGTGGGAATACAACAATATCTGCATAGCAAAAAATGAAAAGTTTTATTATTTAAATTGTGATAAATTTTATGTCGGATAAAAACTCGTTTGTACCTTTTTAATTTCGTATCTATGATGAAAATAATAATTTTACCAATTAACTCATTTTGTTTATTAGTTATCGTGCTTGAATTTTACACATTGCCATATTTTTTTTGATTCCTTTTTTTTAACTAATTGTCAATTGAAGCTTTGCTATAAGCACAAACATTAATTTGTTCTCTTGAAGCGTATTTAATGAAAGCATCTTTTAAATTCAGAAAAGTAGAATGAACTTTATTTCCATATTTACTGACAAAAAAAATAACAACTTTAACCCTATTTAATGAAAGCATCTTTTAAATTCAGAAAAGTAGAATGAACTTTATTTTCATATTTACTGACAAAAAAAATAACAATTTTAACCCTATTTAGCCAGCTAGAAAATATGTTACCCGTTAATCAGTCAAACATATTCATATTTATAAATTCCTGTATAAGATCTTTGTAATACTTCTTCCCGTCTCAAATTGTAAAGTAAATATCTTAAATTTTTCAGACCTTATACATTATTTTAGTTGAAATAAACAGTGAATTAATTGCTACTGAACCATTGATAATATTGAATCGATTAATTTTTAATGATTGCAGAATACTCTTCGTTTAGACATGCTTTAGGTTTTAAAATAAAATTTAACTTACATCTGTGCTTTTCCTTCCGAGTAATAGGTATGTCGCGTAGACGTCATCGTATTTGGCAGTTTCCAACGAGCTCTCGATGTCGGTCCTGTTGTAACCGAGACACACGAGGGCTTCGATTCTTTTGTGGTCGTTCATGTCCGGTTCCGGTTCCATGTATGGCTTCAGCTCGTCGTTTTCGTATCTGAAAAATAACCTAAATTAAAATGCACGCTGAAATACTGGCAACTGAACTTGGATGAAGACCTAATTGTCTACTAATCTAGACATGCAAAACATCACCATAACTGTTCAAAAATATCTAATTGATCACCTAAAAAAATAAAGACGACTTTTTAACAATGATAAAAAGAAAAAATACTCTAAAAAATTACAGGCACATGCATTTTCTTCTTTCTTTTTCAAAACTAAGTGCGGTTAGTACTGAAATCAAGTCGAATATATATATTTTTTTTCCGAACTTTGTAGTCAAGTATTTTGTTTGCAATAAACATAAAAATAAAATTTCCGGTTCTCTTTGATCGAATTAAATGTATTAGCTAACGTGATCTGTTCTTTCAATTTTTCACAAAACGTCGCCACAGTGTTTCGAAACTAAAAGCACTGCTTTCTAGAGTGGAATAAGAAATAATTATTTCCACATGAGAAAGTAATTATTTCAGACGCGAAACACCAAGTTGGTTATTATGTAAAGGAAGTATTGATTACAAGTAAGATGTTATACATAGACTCATTAAAAAAATTAGTAGTTCAAGAAACCATAATATTTCCTACATATTACACAAAACTGCCTTTTTTCATCATTTAGCTGCAAGAATTATAGTAATAACGATGCAGATTTTTCGTTTTCTTGTGTCGAAAGTCTTTTGAAACAAAAAACGTTTATAAAAGCGTTACAGAAACGCATGTAATTTAAAATAGAATTCAACAAATGAAAATATAATAAAAAATATACTTATAGATTTACTTTGCAGATAACGTTAGCGGTTTATTTATAAAAAAACTAATACTATCCACTACATTTATTATAACTTTTCTACAAGACAAACAACACTAATATTCTCTACAAACTATTTTTAAAAACCATGAATATTATAAGTTATTATAAAATTAAAATTTTTGATTATTTATCAGTGAATTGAATTAAAAGCAAGTGAAATATACAAAACCTAAATAGAAACAGAGTACTTATATTAATAAATTGTTAAAAAACTTAGGTAACCTGAAAATTTTCAACTAAAATATTTAATTTGTTTCATGGTTTTCGCAAATAATTGGGCAAACCAGACCATTCTACCAAAAACTCCGAAAAAATATTTAAAAATTCATCAACTGACCCCACATACCCCGTATTCATCCACTTGTCCTTCATGATAGTCTCGAGCGACGCCCTTTTGGCCGGGTTGAGCACCAGGAACTTTTTCAGTAGATTCTCACAGTCCGTGCTCATATAGAACGGAATTCGGTATTTGCCTCGAAGCACCCTCTCCCTAAGCTCACGCAGGGTCGTACCGTCGAAGGGTAAACTGCCGGATACTAACGTGTAAAGGATTACGCCTAAGGACCACACGTCCACTTCCGGACCGTCGTACTTTTTACCCTTTAAAGAAATGACAGAAGAACAGTTAGTTAAGTTACAAAATGATCCAAAGTGAAAAAAAATAACATACTTATTGATACTTATTAGTTCACTGGTTATTTACAATAGCTTAAAATATCATTAGCTATTCTTTAGTTCGATCAATATAGTGGCATTTTGCAACAACAAAAACGACGACTTTTTAAATAATAAGTTACCAAATAATATAAATACTGATACAGCAATGAAAATTTTTCTTTACGTTTAGCAGTACTTATTACAACACTATAAAAAATAATGACGTGGCTAGATCTTCTATCAAGCACACACCACCTTACTACCTTATTTTTCATTTTTACACACACAAATCTTTAAACGCGTATATTACGATTACAATTTAAACAAAAATAGAATATTGAAAGGAGGCATTTTCTTTTTGAAATTAAAACCGTATTTAATTTAAAAATATTAGAATATTCTCGAATTTACAGCGAATAAATTAATATTATTATTACTCATAACAAGTGCAGTCCTTTTTAAACATAATTTCCTATAAAAATGGGCATGCTCGCTCTTGTAAATAACACGTAAATGCCGTTTAGGTACAATTTTCATTGAAGCCACAAAATAATAGCCCATATATGACGTTACTTAACGTCATACGTGGAATTACTATTGAGCTCAAACGAAACGTAGATTAATCCACTAATGAACACAATCAAAACGTAGACCGATTACAAATATTTTTCTGTAATTTGGCGTTAGTTAATTAAGCCCATTCTCTAAAGGGAAATAATACATGTTCATTATATTTGTAAATATTGTTTTCGGACATGTAATTAAATTTTTTTTAACGAATTCTGCTATTGAAAAGATATAAATATGCACGCATTCCTCATTTTATTGTATTTCAAAATGAAAATGTAAATTATTCCATACCTACTCAAATCCCTCAAAAAGAAAAAACAAAGAACATATTAAAGCAAGTACATTTTTAAATTTTAATGTAAAAAAGGCAAGGGAGTGTTCAAATGTTCAATATCGACCTATTTTTGTCTAGTAATATAATCAGTTAATTTTTTTTAAGAAAACAGCTGTTTTGTAGTAAATTAAACAACACTAGTTTCCATTTTCTCACAATTAAAATTTAAAATATGTAATCATACTTCAGATGGACAATGAACAAATTAGATTACATTTACTTTTACGACGAGGTCAATATTTTAACAAAACTGCTACTGGCTTTCGAAAAACAATTTCCTAAAGAATCAATTACGTTGAAGATTTCCTCCTACTCTGGTCCTACTTATCGCAAGTATTATTATCTCCGTTAATCTTAAATGTTTTTTCACATCTAAGTAAATTTGGTTCGCAACTAACTGGGAAAGTAATTTCATAAAGCCATCAGGTCTCATCGTAAAGTTCGTAAACATTTTAAATAAACAAGATAATTGAATTATGGCACTTATTCGAAAACGAGCTGTCAACTTCACTATATATATTCTATAAGCCACTACTGAACGCTAATGTGGATTTTTCCACTTATATTTTTGTCAAAATTTATAATGAACATCCGATCGTCAAGTAAATACCGATAAATATAAAAAATAAACGTATTTCTTTATTCTTTGCACTACAAAGCCTACATAACTAATTTCTTAAGAAAACAAACCTAAAAATAGTATTTCGAGGTAGTGCAAATCGTGTCTTTATGACATACTTGTAAGAAGCAAAATGTTAAGAAAATAAAAGAGAGACGCGAATAAAGGAAAATTAATATTATTAATTACCTGGAAGAGTTCCGGGGCAGCATAGGGGGGACTTCCGCAGAAAGTGTCTAGCTTATTTCCTGGCGTGAATTCGTTTGAGAAACCAAAGTCTGCTATTTTTATATTCATTTCACTGTCCAACAGTAAATTTTCAGCCTTTAAGTCTCTGCAAATAAGAAGTGTTATAAAATCATTTTTCTAACATTTACATTTTGGCAAAATAAAATGAATTACTATTTTAATGTAGTGAATTATAGAAACAATGACAAGTTTTAGAAATCGTTGTACTTAAGCACATATTCATTTAAACATAAGGCACAATGCTACAAAGCCTTCGATTAGACAACCAAATTCGTACTAGTCTGTTTGTCACTATTTTTTTGTTAATGTTAACAAGTTATATACTTTTCAAATGATCGTTTAGTATTCTGAGGAATATTGAATATTTGAATTTTACATCCAAGAAAACTAGAGATAAGGGGAGAAAGTACATGGTTTTCTTACTGTACTGCGCACCAAGTTGTGCTCGTTCGTACGTTGCGCAGTAAGGCACTGCGCATCTAATTTGCCGGGTAGGCAAACTGTGTCTACGTTTTAAGCTTGACAACTAAAAATACCGAAATTGCCCAACGTACGCACGCATTTTCTATTCTTTATTAGTAATAATACTTTTTAGACTCATTCATTTGGGGTTAAGTTTATGCTTCTAATATATACTTTACAATATACATACCTATGTATTATCCTTTTTTGGTGGCAATACTGCACAGCCGAGACGATTTGTCGAAATTTCGCTCGCGCTTCTTTCTCCTTCATCCTGCCGTGCAGGACGAGGTAGTCGAATACCTCGCCGCCGGAAGCATATTCCATCACCAGGTACAACGTTTTGTCCGTCTCGATCACTTGAAACAGTTTCACTATATTTGGATGATCCAACATTTTCATTATCCTTACCTAAAATAATAAAACAATAAACGTAAATAAACATCGGAACTGTCAGTTTTCTTAACTTTTCTATTATTATTTTAATTTATAAATGTAACAAGAGTCAAATTTTAGGAATCCTAATGTCGAAATTCGACCAATTGAGTATTGTTTCGGGCAGGGATTAAACAGGGCCGCTACAGCGCATGGTAATGGGAGTAATTGGCCGATCGAGTCATATTTATATAACTACTCTTTTCTCGATAATAAAATGGGTATAATCAGGAAAATTTCTCACATTTAAAAATTTATAACTGCCGCTTTATTTGTAAAATCTATTGAAAATTCTATGTAGACTTGGTAATTCGGACATTCGAAAATTGCTGTCTACTTTTTTTTTGTAATTTTTATTTATGCCTGGTCGAAAAATTCAAAGGAACCAGGAATAATAAAGTACTTTTAATAAAGCATTTAAGTTAGATAACTTTTTTGCGAATTACAAACATCGATTATCGACTATTACCCAATATTATCACTTTTCGTACATACATAATTAACCAAATTGTAAAATTAGACCGCGATGGGCCAATTACTACATGCCTTAGTGCCAGGGATCGCTCAGGCTGGAGACAGCAGAGCTCAAACCCATCTAACAAAAAAAATGTAGGGGGGGGGGGGCGAAGCCTCTGTTTTCAGAAGTTGTTAAGATAATATTGACGAAAAAAAAAATGTATCACATAACTACTTTATCTCTAGCTATCTGAAGATGACTCTCAAAACACATTATTAAGTATTATGCTCTTAATTTCATCTTCTGTCTCTTATTGATATTTATCCTATATTATCTTTTTGTGTGTAGCAAAGCTTTTACAACTCTAATCTAGGTGTTCAACTTATGACATACAAATGTAGCTGGTTTTTACTTTTATTTGTATGAAAAACAAACTGCAAGGATTTGTGTCGTAACAAAAATAGTTAACTACTAGATAACTGTATTTTATAAGCAAAAACCGACAAGTAAAACTAAGCAAATTAAAACTATTGAGTCACTTACTTCTCTAAAAAGTTTTTGTAGTGATCCAGGATTGAGTTGTGTTTTGTCTATTATTTTAATGGCCACCTCCTTGCCGGTCGGTACATGTTTCGCTAGTTTTACCTTTGCGAAGTTACCTTTGCCTATTGTTTTAAGCAGCTTGTATTTTCCGATGGTTGGTTCGTCGCCCGCCCTCGTCCTATTTCGGGTCGCTGCTATTCGCGTCGACTCCACGCCAGCCTCATTTCCACCCTGAAAAGAAAACAGACAAGTTAATGTACAGCAAACAAAAGCCTTTACATCTATTACATAACTTCTTATGGTTATGGGATTCCTTTATGTATTTTGTCGATATTTGAATCTAAAAACAACCGGAACGGTGATATGTATGCCCAGAGGGAAGGGGGCGAAATCAAGCACAGTTTAGAGGCGCTAGCGTTTAGGAGGGTTACAGCGCTCAAAATTTTTTTTTTATAACATTAAATTACATATTTTAAAGGGTTTGGAAAATGCTAATACACGACATAAATAACAATAATAAATGACTCTACATTACTGATTAGTTTATTAATCCATATAATCGATTTTTTGTCTGCAACATACATATAGTCGACTACCTATTCCTCTTAGACTATTTTCGGTCTAGGTGGGCGGGATCGAAAGAGGAGGTCTCCCCCACCACTGTCCATAAAAAGTTCGTGGCGGTCTCACCCCCATAAAAAGTTATGTGGGTTAGATGGGGGTGGGGGTAGGGGGATCAAAAGAGGATGGTCACCTGAGTAACACCCCATAAAAAATTTGCTGCGGTCTCATCCCCATAAGAAGTTATGGGGGTTGAAAGTTGATTATTTTCACAATTCTCATACACTATAATTCAAATAAAATTCAATAAAAAAAATATTTTCAAGCGGGTGGAGGTGGGGGATCGAAACAGGGTGGTCACTTGAACAAAACCCGATAACCTAACCTAACCTACCCTATTGATAAAGATNAGGTGGGGGATCGAAAGAGGGTGGTCACTTGAACAAAACCCGATAACCTAACGTAACCTACATTATTGATAAAGATATTTAAATAATGTTTTATATAACTTTCTCAATATTGTTATGTATTTTTCATTAGTTTTACCTTTGAATATTGTTTAAGAATGACTATATAAATACTTACATGCTTAGAAATGTATAAAAATTGGCATATTTGAACTTTGAACCCCTATAATTTTTTATGGGGGTGAGACCACCACGAACTTTTTATGGTACAGTGATGGGGGAGACCTCCTCCTTCGGTCCCCCCATCCCCACCCCCGAAAGGAGTGGGAGCCGTCATCTAGACCTTTACCCTATTTTCAATAAAAAAAACAGTATGACACTTAGTATGTATAGGTAGCTGAATTAGTTCAAATTATAATTATTACAACCCCTTTTTGTTTTTTAAATAGCCGTTTGTGCATTAACTAAGTTCCTATTATAATCTGATTTTAACGAAGTAGTAACATATAAAAAAATTGAACAATCACCTAGAAAGTAAAACTTAAGCAAACTTAAGTATTTTGCAATAGGCTTATAGACTTCGATAGAAACAAACCGGCAAACCATTACCTACATAGTTTGCTTTTTATAGTCTGCAATAAAAAATAAGTAGCAAATAAATTAAAATCATACGTTAAAAAAAAAAAATACAATGGTTTTACAACAAAGACTAAACAGCAATTTACATTTTTAACACCATGACTAATAAAGATTTATGGTGACAAAACGTTCCAGTATCAATATTTTTGTTTCTCCATATTTACTGTCAAAAAAAATAACAACTTTAA